GTGTCTTTAACCGGAGCTGTGAGCAGAAACGCCGCAGACAGAAACGCTACGCTGTTCCGTATGAACACTACTTACAAATTGTATCTCTCGTAGCAAGTCGCCATCTTCGCTCCTTCTACCCGACCTCAGTGACGACAGCAGTGCGAGGACCTGCAGGCGTTGCCAGATACGAGGCGTGAAACACAGAGCAGGCGCGGGGCCTGAAGTGCACGTTTTTCCTGCCAAGCCCAGCGAACCTGGCACCCTGAGACAGACGTGGTGGTGGGTGGTACTTGTAGTTTAATCCGGTTGGGTCGCTGCAACTGTGACTGGCTGCGTGAACAATAGCCGCACGTCACGTGGTTCAGGGTTAGTCGGACTTTTACACCTGAGTCTTTTCTTCTTCTGTAAAAGTCTGCATCATGGACCACATGAACAACTTGTTTCTACTTCACGGTTTAGATTTAAGTGCAGACAGCTGAATACACACAAACATGGCTCAAACTTCCTGTTTCTAACTTAATTCTTCGTGTGTGGGTATCAGATGAAATCAGTCACTGTAGTTTGCCATTTTCATTAGAAAAATAGGTTTGGTGCAGCAGGCCTCCTCCTCTCACCAGTAAAGCCCTTTCACTGAGCTTTATTGGTGGCCTGAGAAGTTCGCTTATTGTGAACATCTCGCCTTTTACACATTATTGACTTTACAGTGAAATCAGAACTTATTTGAAGGAGTAGGAGGTGGGAAAAAGCTTAAAGAGTGGACTAACCCACCCATCGTGATTATTTGTTCGTTTTTAAGTTTATTTATGTCGTGTGTGTGTGTGTGGGGGGGAGATTTGGTGTATTGTTTTAATGTCGTAGCTCTCTTGTGTATGGTATTTTAAATATATCGTATCTGTGTATCATAGCTTGTTTACACAAACTGACAGCGTTATGAGGTGTTCGCATTTTCTTTGGGGCCTGACTTCCAAACAGGCATTATTCAGGCCAAAACAGGCATTTTTCGGGCCACCAAAAGTCCGGTAGCGGTGAAGGACCCGGATATATAAGCCCTGCGCGCGCTCGTGCTCAGCCTTTGGGTCCTGGCTGTGGAGGGAGGAGGAGCTGATGTTCAAGGCTTTAGCGTTTACACAGATTAACGCTCTGAGTTGATAATGGGGGGGTTTACTCGGAGAGCTCTGTGGTCAGAGTCATGCTGCAGAGCGCGAGGGACGAGCGGCACGTGACCCGCGGGCCAGGTGCCCAGCACGTGGCCAGGAGCCTGGCCTCGTTGCGGTCCTGTTCGTTTCTGTGCAGAAAACGTGGCGTTAGGGCAGTGAGTCTGCAGAGCCTACCTCCGGAGAAGCTAGGGGAGGAGTGTGAGTATTACATCAAAGGTTGTTTTCGGTGTCGATTTTAATTTAAATTATTAGTAGGAATGAGTAATCTATTATTAATCAGATACTTTACCGTAGTTTTAGGCTATGCTGGAGTAAAGCGCTATAATCGGGCAGTATTAAAATGCTAAATTGTCCAGCTAACAGCTCATGTCCGCATCGACACGTGGTGCAAAGCAGGTGAAATGTGCGTTTTTTCCATCTAAATTGTAATCAGTGCAAATGTGTAGCAGTTAACTGGGGTAAGGTAATACCATTTTACAAAGCAAGCTAATTAGAGCCGTACATGGTAATTCTGCTGGTGAGATGCGTTACCTGCCCTAGCACAGTGAAGCTGGTATATTTAAAAATGTATTAAAGCCCTGGAAATAAATTTTGTAGGGCTCTAAGGCCTCGCTGTGGAGTAGATCTTTCTGAAGATGGACTATGGCTCTAAAGGGAATGTTTACCATATAAAAACTAAACTGACTGTAAATTGCATCCTCTGCTTTCCAGAAAGCTGCAAAGAGCAGATGCAGAACAGTGTGGAGTCTGCAGCTGGGAGCTGACGGTGAGTGTTAGAAAGATCCTCTAATGAGATGGAGAAAGTAGTATGCTGATATGATGATTCATAAGACTAGAGTCTCTGAATACACAATGAAGCTCTTTCACAGTGCACTGAACAGCATTTTACTTCTTAACATGTGAATGCTACAATCAGAGCTAGTTCTGAAACTCTCCTTTGTACTCTGCAGGCACCTCAGCGTGGTTTTATCTGCTGGACATGGCTCTTCTGGGTAAGCCTGGACTCTAAACGTTGTTCTGTGCCTTAATGTGGGATGATGATTGCATAGACTAGAGTCTCTGAGAAGCATGAAGATGTTTTCACAGTGCACTGACCACAAAACCCACAGCAGCCCATTTACTGCACATTACAGACATGAAATCATGGCTGGGCTTTCTTCAAATCTGTCCAACAAAGAGCACACTTTTAGCTTTTGTTTTTTTTTTTTTTGTGTAGGTGTTGTTATTGTGGTGTGTGCTTTTTTTTCAGTGTCTGCGCTTTTGTCATGTGTAACATATAAACACATTTTTACCTTTTAATACTTCAGATGTTTGAAACAAGAGTCCCAGTCATCTGGGAGAAGTTGTACAGTCATGTAACACGTCTGAAGTGTTTGCAGTAAATGGGTAAAGCATCCATATACATGGTTTCCCTGAATGTGTTCACTGGTATAAGTTAGGTGCTAATGGTGCTTTCTTTTGTCCTGTAGCTCGTCTGCACACGGCTGGTCTCCATGTCTGTAAGTAAGAAACGTGTTCATTTTGGGTCACCTCTGACCATACTTCATCATGAACAGATTATACTAAACTATCAGTTTAAGCCTGTGTATTCAAATGATCCAAGCTTGTTGAAATGGAGCTGCTGTTTCCTGAGTCTGGTCGATGATGATTCAGTTATTCGGTTCTACTGATGTTAACTGAAGTCTACTCGCAGCGCACTGAGACACTCAGACTGCAGCGTTTCCTGCATATATGGATGAGAAAGAGCTTGTGATTTCATCACTGTTATCTTGGCAGGCATGACTGTAGCAGCCCCAGCTGGATGGCCTTCATGAGCAGAAAGCAGGTTGGTGTGAGTAGGTGGATTATTCAAATGATCATTGCTGCAGTAGCAGATGCAGTGTGTGTGCTGTAAGAGATGTACTACACTCTGTGACAATGAGTTCCCCCCCACCCCCTTAAATGTCTCAATGCATTTTTTTGTCCTTTGACAGGTGTGTACCTGCAGAGGTGGCACTCCCAACACTGAAGATCCTCGTCTGTCATCTGATGGAAGCATCAAGCTGGAGCAGTGCACGTCTTCCATTGCTTTAAGCAACGTGTCTTCATCTGTGTGAATGTTGAACGTGTTTTGTTTTTAAACCACTGTATTTAAGGACAATAAAGGTTGACCACACACGACCAATGGCTATTTTCTTCAGTGGGTTGATAAACTCAGAGTGTACTTTGGAAGCTAATCTCAGTGGGTGACAGTTTTTCCATAAGTTCTCCTGCACTGATCAGATGGTTGTAACTGTATAATCCCCAAGCAGCTTTTGGGTTCACTGTCTCTTACACATCAGTGCAGCATCATTCTACTTATATGAATGTGTGAAACCTTACTGATGGGTGACTGAAAGCTGTATTAAAGTGCTGCACATGGCTAAACTGGAATTAAATGTTAGTGATGTGGCAAAATTATCCAACATTAAACGATCTCATGCAAAGGAATAAAAGGCCGAGCTGAAAGCGGCTTGGTCACGTATTTCTACACTGAACTGATATAAAATCAGGTGTGTCCAGAACCTGAGAAATTGTGTAGTTTGATATGTTTTACAAACATCTGCCTCCGTGAAATTGATGTGCAAAGCTAAATTTACACATTGGCAGCATCACTGAAGAGGGTGAGGCTCACGTGAGGCTGACCCGCTGACGGTAACCATGGTTTTATTTTGAAGGCTGAACGCGACCCGGTAGTTCGTCGCCTTTGTTCTCGTAATGAGCGGGGAAACTGTTCAGTCGACCTTTTTGTGCTTGCTAGCAGTGCTATTAGTGGTACCTGCCGTCCCTCAGCTTTAAGTGGACTCGGACCTTTCTCTCCACAGAGGACATTTGAGCCACGACGTCCTGAAGCAGAGCAACTAGTCTGTTTATCGAGTTATCTCATGCTAACGAGTAGCGCTAGCTGGGTTCTGACAACTAACACAGCTAGCAGCTAACAGCGGCGAAGGTGAGCTTTTAGCTACTGACGTTTATCACCGACAGGTTTATTCACACCGAAAAATCATATGTGAGGTAAACTTTAGCTCGCTCAGTGGTGAGTAAGCTGTAGGGCAGCTGACCGCTGTGTGTTAGCAAAGCTGCGTGATGTTGACGTGGAGCTGGACACCGGACTGCACGCGTAAACCAACCTTTCTACGTGTTTGAGGAGTTAACAAATGCGTTTCGAGAGACTGAAAAAGTTTTTGTTTTTTTGTTAGGACGGGCTGGCCAAAGAATAAGCTAACTGCTGGCTAACACTGAGCTGAAGCTTTCGTCAACTTTCCCAGCTCCTCTGTGCTAAGGTGTCGCTGAAACACTGAAAGCAGCCTCGCAGGTTGTCAGCTGAAACCCAACATGTAGACTGTTCTTCTGGACTTTAATGGCGGAGTCTCGTTAAGAGCAGAGCCTGTAAGTAATGTAGGGTGGGGGCGAGTGTAACCTTTTGTCTGCTGAACTGCTCGAACACACCCACAGGTGCGGCGATGACCCGAGGACGTCACGTTGCCCACGCCTGAGGCCTCCTGAACAAGTATTTCAACTTCATAACTGCACCGACGCGCATGCTTTTCTCTGAGGCTCGGGAAGCCGACAGGACGTGAGAACTTTAACCGAGCTCTACGCGAGCAGACATGACAGCTGTGGTGGGCAAAGCGTGGGGGTGGGTCCGCTCGTGGGGCAGCAGCGGTGCCAGGTCAAAGGACACTAACGTTTTGACAGCTGAGCGCCAGAAGCTGCGTGGCAGTGGTGGTTGGGGCATCACGGCTTGGATCTGGGGCTCATGGGGACGTCAGCATGAACTAGGCAGTCCAGTAGAGGAGTACTGGGAGGCGCAGGAGAAGCTTCAGCCCATTAAAACTGAAGCTCTGGCGGCAGGGAAGCCAGAGGCTGAGACTGTGCTGGTTCCCAGGTGGTGGGATAGATATCTTCCTACTTCTTATCTGTGGCCAAGGAAAACTGAGCTAAGTGGACTACGACACCGGAAACGTGACGGTGGGACTGGAGATCCACGGGAGCGTGATACTGATGGAGACTTTTCTGATTATGGGACCCCCCCTCCGTCCCCCACCCCTTCTCCGTCTCAGCTGACTTCCCCTTTTCGACTGTTTGCACACAGCTGGAACGTGGAGATCGTTCCAGAGCACTACGAGATCTGCTTTAACTTCCTACGCCACTTGTTCGACCTGTTTGTTGTTGGCTTCCTGTGGACTGTGTCACCTCCCGCCAAGCTCATCCTGGAGGTGCTGGGTGTCCAGGGAGCGCTGAGACTGTGGTTTCATGGCATGGCGATGTTTATTGTCGCCACAGTTGGAATGGCAGGATTACTCTGGTTGATCCAGGAGTATCTCCTGCAGTTTGCCCTGATCTATGGCATCATTCAGGCGTTGGTGATCTCTGTCAGTGTTCGACAGAGTGTGATGCTAGGTGATGAGGAAGAGAATGACCAGACAGGAAAGGACACTGATGACACGAGAGACACTAAGGAGCACAAAGACAAGCCTGTGTCTGTCACAGACAAGGTAAAGACCAATTAAAGGTGAGTCCCTTTATTCTTGTTATATTTGTCAAAGTTATCAGATTTAATTTTATTCTGTAACATTGTGTTGTCTTTTGTCCAAGCTTCAGAATAATACAGCTGTTTACTGTGTAGGGGCTAGCAGTTGTTACACAGTTACACACTACGAGTCTGTGTAAGTTGATCAACTACTGTAAGAAGAAGAGGAAAATGCTCATCCAACACAAACACAGCAGGGACGTCCTGGATCTATTTGAACCCTGTTACCAAGTGAAACACAAAAACATTCTCTGAGTGAAACCAGTTCGGAGCTCAGACCTGCTCTGGGAGGAACCACTTATTTCCCTGTCAAGATTGAGTTATTGTGTGTTGTGAGTAAGACCCACTCTCAGCTGTCTGCT